GGGAATGCTCGTTGCTCTCTTATCGTGGGTTCCGGCTCTTTTCGGACCGACTGATTAGAGGCGGGGATGGTGGAGGTCTAAGCACCACTCTAAGTCTAGGACTCAGGTGTGGGGGCTTGGAGTCCAAGTTTGGACGGGGACCTAGACCCCTTGACAGGAGAGTGGTGGGTTGGTCCTGCTTGTGCCTAGGGTACAAGCAGGGAGTGTTGTTAGGAAAATAGACCCTAGGCCCATTTACTTTGTTTTTTGGTGTTTGATGACCAACACAACAAAATTAGACTAATGAATTTGCAAGTGATTGTTTTGTAGTTCAATAGGGTGCAAGACATGACTTAGATGAAGGCGACATGATCAACACCTTAAGCAAGACCCTAGAAGCACAAGAGAAGACCCAAGATATCAAGCAAAGTCCAAGCATGAAGATAGGAACCAAGCCGGACGCAAGATCGTGAAGAAACATGCTCGGTAGAGTGACCGGACGCAGCCCTTATAGGGACCGAACGCGTCCGATCAGTTGCTTGGCAACAGCAGGCGTCAGCAGCAGCGACCAGACGCTGAGGACTGAAAGTGACCGGACGCACCGATGGCACTATTCATCATCCCGGCAACACATTCAGCACTGACCGGACGCTGGCGGCAAATCGACCGGACGCAGCAACTGTAGCGTCCGATCGAGTACAGAGAGGTTCTAGAGCGGCGAAATTGCAGCCGGACACGTTTGGTGGCATGTGACCGGACGCCATCAGTGTCCAATCAGTTGATCGCGTGCTCTAACGGTTAGGACGACTGGACACGTCTGGTAAGGACAAAAGCAGCGTCCGATAAGTAGCAGAGAAACGGGTTTCATCCCCAACGGCTACTTTCTCAGTGGGGCTTACAAATAGACCCCCCAACCGGCCATTTAGCTTGTGTGGAGCTAAGAAAACATACCAAGGGTGTTGATGCACCATTTTAGTGATCTCCACTTGCATAGTGCTTACTGATACATTAGATGATTAGCGTAGGTGCTCTATAAAGTGCTTAGGTTGATTAGACTAACGCTTATGCGCTTGCTCTAGGTTTAGGCCTAGTATTTAGTGAGATTTGCATACCTCTTATCACTTGGTGCTTGCGCGCACCATTGTTGTACATCAAAGGGGCTTGTAGTCTTCTGAGATCACACCAACCGTGTTTGTGGTGTGGCCGCCACCGTGTATCGGAGGAAACAAGGTCCGCGGCGTTTTGGCCGGAAGCTTGATAGTGAAAACGGCGAGAAGCATCTAGGAGAGGCTTGCCGGAAGGCACGTCGGAGACCCACTTGCACGTGGGAAAGGCCCGAGGCTATCCACGGAGTTACCCGACCGGGAGCTTGGCCCTTGCGAGGGGCTCCAACGAGGACTAGGGGGAAGCTTGTGCGCTTCTCGATACCTCGGTAAAAATACCAGAGTCGTCGACGGGAGTTTGCATATCTCTACCTTACTCTTTAGCTTCCGCATTTAAATTGTTTGTATTACTCTTTTTGCGGTAGAGATAGCAACACACTAGCAAAATCGTAGTTCCACATTTAGATAGTTTATCTTTTACATAGGTTTTGCTAAGGTTACAAAAGAGGCCATATTTTAGAGTCAGAATTTTAAGTTGCCTAATTCACCCCCCCCCCCTCTTAGGCGTCATGGTCCCCTACACGTGTGTTTCGGGGTACCTAGCTGGGCACATTGATTCATGAATCGCCGGGTAGTCCGGTACGACTTGTCTACAGTCTAGCACCGTAGTAAGAACTGCAAGATGAAAGGTGGTGAAATGGATCTGTTTACTCAACTCTTGCTTTGAAAGTAGAACATGTGCTTACCTAGAATGGTTAGATAATGAACTAATCATGACTGCTAATAAGAAACATACATAAGGACTCACTACTAGTATTGCTTTCCGCAAAAAGGAAACCCAACAACCCATAAAGCTTATCATATCCTTTGGAGTCGGGAAATTATTTCCACTAGTCGGGTAAGTCTTACGAGTACATTGTGTACTCAGGGTTTATTTACCCCTGTTGCAGGTGCAGCTTGAAGAGTAGCTGTTGTGTGAAGGATTCTTCTGGTGGGCACAGACAGATCCTTGTATTCTACCGTTAGATGTTTATTGTAATTTCGCTGTTTAAATTCCGCACTCTAAACTTGGTACTATAATAATGTATTTCTAAGAACTCTGGTTGTATGAAATGGACTAAGTATTGTAAACTCGTTCTCATTATTGGATCCTGAAAGCGTGCTATTTCGGGCGGTTCTGCCACAACGATCTTGTTGTAGGGACGGGCCACTCGTTCGTGCGTCCTGTTCATGATCCGGCACGGTCTTCTGGCTCTAGAGGTATCCAACGGCCCTGGTCATGCAGGTCTACCAGTGCCACCAACACTCTTCGATGGCACCATCCACTTTGGCTTCGACGGCGCCATCCCCTTCGACTACCTCAACTATCGTCCCTGCTACTCAGTGCTCCTCCAACATGCCGATTGTTCCGGTTCCCCCTGCTGTCAATCAGCAAGCCATGCAAACCCGGGGCAAGTCTAGAATCAGTCAACCTCAACAAATCTTCAAATTGTCGGCTACAGCAGACATCAGTCAGCTCCCAAAAACATATAGAGGTGCCTTCTCTGATCCAAATTGAAAGCTTGCTATGGAGGAAGAATATGGGGCTCTTATTGCCAATCAAACATGGGATCTTGTGCCACCACCACCACATGCCAACATTATTGTTTCAGGGAAATGGCTTTATTGTCACAAACTCAATGCTAATGGATCTCTAGCTCGCTATAAAGCTCGTTGGGTTGTGCGTGGTTTCTCTCAACAAGGCCTTGACTATGATGAAACATTCAGTCCTGTTGTCAAACATGCGACAATACGCACGGTGTTATCTCTTGCCGTCTCCAGTGATTGGCTCATTCACCGGTTGGATGTTAAAAATGCATTCCTACATGGCACACTCAGTGAAACTGCGTATTGTCAACAACCTCCTAGCTTTGTTGATCCAGCTCACCCTGATTATGTATGCAAGCTCAACAAAGCACTCTATGGCCTCAAGCAAGCACCACGGGCTTGGTATAGCCGTTTCCAAGCGTTAATCACGTCAATTGGATTCCAGGCTTCTCAATGCGACACCTTGCTCTTCATCTTCACTCATGGAACAAATGTGGCCTATTTTCTTCTGTGTGGATGACATCATTCTAACCGCTTCATCCCAGCCTCTTCTTCAGCGCATCATTTGCTACTTGCAGTAAGAATTTGCCATGACTGATCTTAGTCATCTTCATTACTTCTTGCGGGTTTCTGCTCAACGGTCATCAGCAGGTATGTTCCTCTCTCAAGCCAAATATGCCCACTAAAAATTTGGAGAAGGCGAATATGTCCTCTTGCAACCCATGCTCGACTCCTCTTGAGGTTCAGCCCAAGCTGTCTGCCTAAGGAGGACCACCAGTTGCCGATCCTACTCTATATCGCAGTCTCGCACGAAAATACTGTACATCACATACGTTTGATAGTGGGCTAGGCACATAGGAGACGTAGAAAATGGTAAGGATTAGGTAGACGAAAAATCATAATGATAAGTTAATAGGTGAATTGTAATGGCAGATCGCAAAACTTCAAAAATTGTAATGATGTGGATTTAAATAATAATAACCCAAACTAAAACACGAAACCTCCATCGAGGCTGACCTAATTATTACACGTGGACCTGGTCTAGTCTGCTAAACAGCATGAGGTTCGGTCACGAATCACAAAGCAACGAATTTGTATATATATATATATATATATATATATATATATATATATATATATATATATATATATATATATATATATATATATATAAGCTCTGGAAAAACGGATGGACGAACACAACAATATACTAGTTGGTGCTCCTGATGCGACGGCCGGGCGAGGAAAAAAAAAAGGATTTCCGCCAGGTCAAGATGCGGATTCGAGTCGAGTTCCAGCCATCTCCGATCCACATGCAAGGGATCGGAATCGGACAGACACCAGCAGTAGTCCTCATCGAAAACAAAATTTATCGTCCGTCCTAAACTTAGTCGGTGGTGTCATCTAGGTCCCCGAACTTTTATAGTGATATTTTTTGATTTTTAAACTTGGCAAATGGTGTCATTAAGGTCTCTGTTCTTTTAAGGTGATTACTGCAGGTCCCTAAACTTGACCGACGTATCATCCCAGTCCCTAAACTCTTAAGGTGATCATCGTAGGTCCCTAAACTTAGCAAACGATATAATCCCCATCCAAATGTGGTCTAACCTACTCTATAAGTTGCGCTGACTTTACGTTAGACATGGATCCAACATGTGTCAATTAATCAATCATTATTTATATAATATTTATCAAGAAAATATAAATGATATAAAATAATTTACATCAGCCAAAAATGAATTAAAATATTATAGTATTAGACCTTTTAATAATACTATAATACTTTTAGTAAAGTATTAAAGTATATCCTAGTCCCTGAACTTTCAAGATGGTCACCGTAGGTACCTAAACTTAGCAAACGGTATCATCCCTATCCAAATATAATAATATTAAAATTTACCTATAGTATGAAAAGTTTCTCTATTAAAAGAGACTTCTAATTTTAGTGTTATTTTAAAAGTTTTAATAGTTGTATTCTAGAAGTAAATTTTCTATGTTATTAATACTATAACATTACTATTAAAACATTTAATACTATAATACTATTATTAAAAGTACCAGCCAAGTTTAGGGACATGCGGTGTTCATCTTCAAAGTTTAGGGACCTGGATGACACCGTCTACTAACTTTAAGGACTCACATATAGAAGCTTAGGGACCTGAATGACACCGCCGGCCAAGTTCAGGGACGGGCTGTGAATTTTGCTCCCTCATCAATCAATCGGACCATAAAAGGTGGATCCAGCCGATCGAGTATCGCGACGACTCGAGGAAAGATATATTAGCTGCTGTACACGACTTGGTGCTCCCATCGGATCGGATCGTACCACCGATGACGACGCGTGGCGCGGTCGCCTGCCTTTGCAGCGAGGTCCTGAGGGACGAGGAGCTGGGCGGCGCGCCGTTATTGCTGGACGCCGGCGGCGTCTCCATGGCCGACAGGGACCCCGCAAAGATGGCGGCGGAGAGGGCCGCCAAGTTCATCATCCGGGTGCGTCGTCGTCGTACATACGTTGTGTGATTACGCCTGCTCCTAATTAATATTAGCGGATCAAAACACTTTTATTATATCATCATCACGTCCGTCCGTACGTGCTGCTAACTAAAAGTTTTCTTGGTTGCAGGGACTGTTGATCTTACTTTGGTTGTTTTTGTTTGATTCCATGAGAGAATACGCTATCAACTACACTGGCGGAGACATACGGTTCAGTACGTTTGCTGCGATTGTTGTTGCCGTGCCTATAGCTGAAATCTTTGGCATCATGGGCCAGACCTTGGTAGCGCCATGGTCACCGCGGCCTCCCATGGGATCACCGATGCCATTTACCGCATGCGCCACTGCAAGTGCCAACAGTGAGGTCCTGAAGGAGGCGCCGATGATGCCCGCGGACGCCAGGAGAAGAAAGACTGCCACCGAGGCTGCGCTGGACATGGCTGTCGCGAGGATCTATATATGCATCGTCCGGGTACGTACGCGTGTGTGCGTGCGCGCGCGCGTGTGTATATATATATATATATATATATATATACACACATATATACACATTACCTGTAACTGGCTATAAAATAACTTATTCTTTAGCCACTTTGAGTTATGTTAATTACTATATTAATTTATGAGATTACAGTAACTCCTTACTAAGTGGTTTACTATAAGGTTATGATAAATATCCACATGTACTATAGTAACCCAACTATCATAAATGTGTATTGACATTATCGTAAATTAGTATATAAAATTATCGTAAATGGAGGTGGCTACATAATAACTTATTTTGTAGCTGATTACTAAATATATATAGCCATGGAACTCATTTTCTTCTGAAAAACAATATTATATATGAAATTAAAGTCCTTTATTTACAAACGCTAGCTTCCCGCCTCACTACATATGTAGTTGAGATAAGACCAATAATAAACTGACAAAACAAAAAAGGATATATATAGAGAAGCTTTAAGTTCCTATGTATGGTCATTAATTTATAATCTTTCTTCTTGTTTGTTAGAATGCCATTCAACTCTTAATTTGTCGGTATTAATTATATGTATGTTAATCTTTGGCTTATATAAAATAAAGCAAAATATGCTTGCTGATGAATACAATTTCCTGGCGTGCAGGGACTGTTGGTTTTACTTTGGGTGTATTTGGTCGATTTGATGAGAAGATATATGGCCACCCACGGTTTGGGAGAACTGTTCTTCACTATGACTCCTTTGCTTATTCTCGCTGCAGGCGTCTCTCTGTTCTTTTGCTTTCTGATGGAGAGCTTCCGCAAATTTATCGATCGTCATATTGACATATGCTGGAATTAGATTGAGTACCTAGGATGGTCACTTTGTAATACGTACGCTCAATGCTTTTCGTTTGGTAATTTTTCAGGGATATATAATACAAAAAGAGATAGATTACTTTCTGGTTGCTTTTTGTTGGGCTCTAGAATTCTGATGAATACGTAATTCGTAGTGAACAACTTGTACTCCCTCCATTTCAAAATTGTAAGTTGTTTTGCCTTTTGTGGATACAATAAATTTGACTATCTATGTAGATACTAGGAATATATGCGCGCTTCGCCACGCCCGCTTTGGCGTGCACATGCCGGTGCCTGCTCGCTATATTGCATATCTGACCAACGTAGCACACACAGACGATAGCATTGAAACGCATGGAGGCCGCTATATCATACACAAATGCAAAACGTTGGCAAGCACGTTAAGTCGTCAATCGTGTGCTTATAGAACATACATTTATTGTACCAAACATTTCTGAGCGGATGTTTCCAGTTCACAGAGAGCTAGCAGACTAACTCAACCTCAGACCACAGAAGAGTATATACGGGTTTCCGGCACCGAAGATGTGAAAGAGCATGCAGACTTTCGTAGTGGACAAGTATTCCAAGTTTGCACATTTCCTTCCCTTGCGTGCCCCCCTCTCTTTTGACCGAATCAGTAGGGGAACCCCTACATATTTTTTTTCTTTTCCATTAAATGAAAGAATAATAATTACATAAGAACAAAACAAATTGGGAGGGAAATACACAAGGCAACTAGGCCAAAGAGAAGTGTGCCTCAAGCACCCCTTCACCGCCTTCACTCATATCTTCATAGATAATATATACAAGCTCCATGGGTTACCCCAAGTGATTGTCTTCACCAGTGCCCTATGGAAGTTGTTGTTCAAATTGGCAGGCACCGATCTTCATCTGAGCTCCGCCTACCACCCCAATCTGATGGGTAGTCCCAACGTGTCAATCGGTGCCTGGAGACCTTCCTTTGCTGCTTGGTCCATGCTTTGCCCGTCCGGTTGGTCTCAATGGCTCTCATTGGCTGAGTACGGGTACAACACTAGCTCTCATTCCACCTTGGGTGGTTCCCCATTTGAGGTTCTTTATGGGCTTCCACCGTGCCATTTGGGCCTCGATCTTGCGTTGGCTTCCCCTGCTCCAGAGTTGCAGACCTGGCTCGAGGAACACGTAGTGATGCATGACTTGGTCCATCAGCACTTGCTTCGCGCCCAGTCTCTGATGAAGCGACAGGCGGACAAGGGCCACTCTGAGCGCCACTTTGCAGAGGGTGATAAACTCCAACCATATGTGCAGACTTCAATTGCTTGTCGCTCTTGTGAGAAGCTATCCTTCAAGTTCTTTGGCCCTTACCGTGTGATCGCCCGTGTGGGTTCCGTCACTTACATGCTAGATCTTCCAGTGGAGGCTAACATTCACCTGGTGTTCCATGTATCTACGATCACCCGGACACAATCTGGTATCATCTCTGCTTTTGTTTACATTTGTTGTTTTCCAGATTCCTGAGAAGATCCTCCAACGCCGCTCCCCGTCAAACAAGGCCTCATCAAATGGTCCCAATGCCAGTGTCGTTGGCCTCTTGGGAAGCTCTGGACCCGCTCCATCTGCAGTTCCCTTCCCTAGTGCTCCGGCATGGGGGTAAGCACCAGCAACTCAACAGCCACTGTTGAAGTCCCGACAACAGGCTCCCAAGACGAAGTGGTCCATCAACGGCCCAGCCGTGCAATGAGGCCCAACTTGTGAATGTCCGGTCCCGATTGGGCCATGTAACCTGAATGGCGAGCTCCGGAATCTATCTATCAATATACTTACTACTAAAAAGACCTGAATGTCATCATCACCGCTAAACTAATCGCCCCGCTCCGCTCCTAATCGTGGTTACCGCACGCCCTCGGGCGAACCCCCGCCCCCCGCCCCCGCCGTGCCTCCCACCGCCTGCCAGGGCGCCTCCCACCCGCCTCGACGGTTCCAGCCGTCGTCGCCCCTGCCCCCTCCCCTCCACGCCGAGGACGTCCTGGCCGAGGGCGGATCCAACGATGAGGCATTTCGTCCGGTGAGCAGACTGTCGGCCGTCGCCCTCGGCGGATCCAGCGACGAGGCGGAGCAGCTAGGGTGGAGACGCTCGCCCTTGGTGGATCCGGTGAGGTGGCATCTTGACCCAGGTGGAGGCCTTTGGTAAGGCTGAGGGCTCAGGCGAGGACGCACCATGGCTCCAGCCTCGACGCGGCTGCGCGAGGCAGCCACCGGCGCTGGGAGCAACGACGACGAGCAGAGGCGCGGGCACACGGCGGACGGCCCCTCTCTCCTTGCCGGTGCTGGACGTGCTGGTGTCCGTGGACCAAGGCTCGAGGAGGAGCACAAGCTCTAGCATCAGCTGCCGCACAGGGAGGGCGTCTCCGCCGCGGACTACGTCGGACCTCGATCGATTTCTCGGCCGCTGACTCTGCATCTGCGGCCTCAGATTGAGGAGAGCAGAGTGGTATTGGTGGCGACGGTGCGGCGGGACCTGCTCTTGTGTGGGGCAATGACTGCTGCTGACGGCGGCTATCGTGCGGCGGGGGCTGTGCACAGCTGTAGCTAGACGAAGGCGCGTGGACTGGGATTCACGGCCGCCAGTTCGTGTCGTCGACTAAGGAGAGGCCAAAGTCACTCCGTCTATGGTTCATCGGGTACGTCGTGCGATGCTTGGTTGACATCGCCTGCTCTGTGCCGACGCTCAGTAGCTGGCTCTCTGCTGGAAGGCGCTCAGGGAGGACGACTTGGAGACCAACTCCTGCAAGTTCGAGAGTGGCCGCAGGGAGGACGACGCGGTGACGCAGATGAGGAGGCATCCCGGTTCTACGGCCCGGCGTGGGTGTGAAGCACTCCGACTGGGCAAACTGAACCTCCAGGATTCTATATCGGCCAAGTATCAACAAACAATGTCAGTCATGGAGATTCGCCACTAGGAGCCAGTTGTTATTCATTAGTATATAACTATATATACTTGATAGACTATCTAGCTATATTGTTGTGCCTAATCATTCGATAGTATATAAGTCAATTGCTGATCATAATGTAGCCACTTGGGGCTAAATACGAAACAACCTAATGCTGTTTTGGGTGCAGGTGTTGCTGGGGTGCATCTTTCTTCTGATAAAAGTACCAATTACAAAATGATCAATCATAAACTACACAACTCAGGTTTGTGCATTACTGCTTCTTATACTGCCTATGTTGAATTCCCATAAAATTATTGTGCCTATTATTACGATAATTAAATTACTTGTTTGACAAATGGTTCATATTTTGCCAAAATGGATGTAACTGATATCAACAAGTTCGCTACTTGGTCCTAGCAGCAAGTTACATTTCAAAGTTATTGATAAAAATCAAATATTCAATTGTCGATATATGTCGCAAAATAGAATCAAATATTTCCTTTGATTCTTGCTTTATGTAAGGTATGCACATTTTCCCTTTATGACAGATTGCCTGCATTTTTTTGCACACCCCAGCGCCCTCTTTTTTCTTGAGGGGATTTTAATAGTATATCAGCTGCCATATGACTCAAATCGTGCCCTCTGAACCTAGAGTGTAGACGTTATTGTGACTCACATGTGTAGATGTACTTCTCAGATCAAGGCTTATTAGTGCATCTACATGGGCTGTAGTATGTTCATAGTCAGATTATGAATGGGAAGACAAATTCAATTGTTTTCGTAAAAATGATTAGGAGTTACCAAATTGATATGCTATTGATAGGTGTGGATGCATGGTAAATAACAGACGTACCTCTATTTTTTCATGACCATGCTAATGCACATATTTCATTAAGAGGATACATGAAAAAAACAAACTTTACAAAAAGATCAGCAAAAGCCTTGGCTTGGCTGAACTTAAGCACTAGAGTTTGGCTAGGTCCTAATATTTTACAAACACCATTTGCAACGTAAACAACTCTAGCGACTATAAGTCATCAGTATCTCGACCGCACAGAAACTAGCTGTGTTTGGGATTAGCTGGTCTAGGATTGTTGCAACAAATTAGTAAGGCGAGGTCTTAGGGCCTGTTTGGTTCCACCCACTAAAGTTTAGTGACCCCTAAAATTTAGTGATCCTCTAAAGTTTAGTGACCCCTGTTTGATTCTACCCACTAAAGCAGCTGTCCCATGTACACTTTAGTCACTTTTAGCTACCCCTTGGTGACTAAAAGCCACTAAACTTTAGTGACCCCTAAACTTTAGTGGGGGTGTTTGGCATTTTAGTGACTAAAAGTGACTTAAACTTTAGGAGGGGTGAACCAAACACACCCTTACTATCATTTGGGAAAGTAAGTCAGGGTTGTACTAAAGCCATGGGACCATGACCTATAGGTACTATGCTATATTGCTATCTATAAATCAGAAGAATCTGATACTTTTCATTACACTGTTTCAGAGCAGCATAAAGTTGTACACCAAGTTTCACATTCTGTGATATTAGATATGGGATAATTGGACACAATCTTCTGGATAAGATGACAGCAATTCAGCCATGAGATGATAATTTTGGCTTCTGGTGCCATCCTTTTTATGTGATTTCACAATTGTTCAATATCTCAGTTGCTGTTTAGCATGCAGGTATGGTGTGTTCTAATAACTGGACTCGGCACTCTAATGCCCTTGTTACTACTAAAATATGGCGTAAGAAAATTTCTTATTACATTTCTAAATATTCTCAACCAGATTTTCTTTGCTAAGATTTTTAACTGATGTCGTAAAGGAACTTCCTCACAAAAACATGAAAATACAAAAATACCATTTAAAGCAGCTTTATTATCAGAAAGTATAGATAAGAAGACCATATGCACAATGGTGTTAGTTAACAGAAAGCACTAATATGATATCTGTAATGTTCAAATGCCTCAGAGTGCATATTGTCATTGTAATTTGTTCAGTTTTGGTAGTGCTGGTCCATAAGCTACAATTTCATTGTTCTTTTGGTGTTCTTAATACCAACTTGTTTCTTAGTTCAACTTAGGTGTTCTAAACCTAATACTTCTAAAGTTATGTGGGGCCTTTTTCTTCCTGAATATGGAAATAGAGCTCCAGGTCTTCCTATCTCATCATTCATGCTATGGTGCTCTCTGTTCCCAAGAATTCAGTTTTGAACACAAAACCTTTTTTTCAATATGATACATACATTGCATTTATCAAGGTAAGTGCCATGGTTGGTTCATGGGATTAAAGTAAGCTCTATTTCTCCTTATGCTAACCGGATGTGCTATTCCATCTATTTAATCCCAAGAATTCATGATCTTGTAAAGGCCTGTTGATATTGTTGACTTATGTGAAATGGAAAATTGGTAATATACTCCTCTTTCATTGAATTCAGGCCAATTGTCACAATCAAGAATTCTCGCCATGTTGAGAAAGGAGATGGAGCAGAAACTTCAACATTGTTTATTGCTTGCATTTCCCATGTTTGGCAATTATACTTCTCTACTATGAGCTAAATGGTGTGTTTATGTGTGCACAAACCGGATGTACGATATATTCTCCAAAAAAAACTGGATGTAGGATATGTAAGAGATGACATAGTTTTGCTTATTGCAAATATTAGTACAAGAATAATTGCACAGGAAGTGCATCCTTTGGTAACACAATCTGTTGTATGGATGGAATATGCCGCATCAATACTTCAATAGTAATGGCACATGTTTGAAAGGGGTGTATCTACATATCTTTTTTTTTCTGAAATTCTTGTTCCCGCTCTTCTCTTTTAATCATTCAAGGAGCAAGATTGTCTTGTTAGTGGACGGAACCTAAGTAGCACGGATACGGATACGTGTATCGGTATCGGAAGGATACGGATACGCGGATACGGCAATTTCTTAAACAACCCGATATGCGGATACGTTTTAACTATTTTATTAATAAATAGATAACAATGCATATTAAATTGCAAAATAGATGTTCAAGTTCAACATAGAGACATTTAAGGTCTATTACACTCAGAATAACATGAAGCAAGTCTTCTTGTATCAGTTGTTTCTGTAGCCCCAGATCCCACACTACCACTAGCAGTAACACTGGCACTAGCTGCACTACTCAAATTTGGAGATGCCATACTGGACAATGAACATTTGATAAAATCAATAAGGCTCTAATCGGTAATCAGGAAGGGGTAATGGCCGCCTAATGGGGCAGGGTGCACTGGCTCAGATCTAAATTGGATTGGGGAGGGAGAGGAACTCACCTAAGCAGGGGGCACGAGGCAGGGTGCAGTCTCCGACTCGCCGTCGCAGGGGCTCGTTGGCGTTGCAGCCGGCCAGGCGCAGCTCTTTGTTGCCGTCGCAGGGGCTTGTTGCTGGAGGCAGGGTGCAGCTCTTCGTCACCGCCGCGGGGGCTCCTTGTCGCCGGCGAGGGCGGAGGCTGGTCGACGTCGCAGGGGCTCGTTGGCGTTGCAGTCGGCCGGGCGTAGCTCTTCGTTGCCGTCGCAGGGGCTCGTTGCTGGAGGCGGGGTGCAGCTCTTCGTCGCCGGCGGGCGGCGGACACGGGCGCTGCGTGGGGGAGTTGGCCAGTCCGGGAGGCGGAGGCGGCTGCGGCTGCATGAGGCGGATTGCGCGTGGGAGGGGTCGGGAGTAGGGCAAAGGCAAAGAATGGGACGGTGGTAAGTTGGGCTGGGCCGTATCGACTGGGCCGAAACGTTTCCTTTCCTTAGTTTTCAGCCCAAATAAACAGGGATACGCGGACATGCCGTGGATACGTATCCCAGGCGTATCCGTGTCGGAAATGTATCCGATACGGGATACGCACCTTCCCTGCCGTATCCGTGTTTCTGAGGAAGGAACTATCATTAACATGTGAGGTTCTCTTCCCATAGGAGCCGAGGGATTGTTGCTAGCACATTTTATTTGACATTGCTAACCGTTTTGTGAGTGCCAGTAGCGCAAGTGTTATTATTTCTGGCAGGATGGCTTACAATTAATCAATGTTGGTTTCATTAGTGCCATGATATTTGGTCAACGTTATCTTTTTATTCCTTGGCATTTTTTTATAAGGTCCTCGACATCGATTGTGTGGTCAGTAGGACACAGTTTATGTTTAAGTAGAACTATTTTATTGCATAGTAAACTGATGTGATATTATTTTACATTAGTTTTGCACAGTGAAACATGTAATTTTATATTTTTTTCTTACTTCCGTCGCAACACACGGGTACTCAGCTAGTTTGAACTAAAAAGGAGAAGAGAGAACAGAGAAACGACAACTGTTAATTCGATCTGGCTTGTCCTTGCATCGTGTGTCCACAAACGAGGCCCAATTTGTGATTAATCAATAGATAGACGAGCCTCCAGCCTCCACTTCACCCGACGCGTCTTCTTCCCTCATCAGATCGTCGGACCATATCATCGATGACGACCCGTGGAGCGGGCAGTGCCTGCGGCGAGGTCCCGAGGGAGGAGCTCGGCGCGCCGTTATCGCTGGACGCCGCCGGCAAGGGACGGCCAGCGGGCTGCCCGATGGAGACGCCCGGCGCCTCAATGGACAAGGACCCCGCCAAGAGTGCGGCGGAGAGGGCCACCAAGTTCATCGTTCGGGTGCGTTGTGGTTCCGCCTGCTACTAGTCGAGATACTGACGGTAAGCTATCGATATGGCATATTTGGCATGGAGCTAATGCGCAGGGCGGCCAGTCGAAACACGAGGAGGGAGCGTCGTGCCGCCGGCTGTGGCTTGAGCCCTTATAGGAGTGTCTTTAAAACGCAGTCGAACCATCGAGGAGGCGTCTCTGAGCCCCCTTCCCGTGCTCCCGTGCTCCGCCGGGGGCTCCCCTCTGCCGTGATGGCGGCTCCCGGTCTTGGCGCCTGATGCGGCCCTCCACATGTGTGGGTGCCTCCTTGGCCTCCGTCACCACCGGCGGCGAACCCCAAATGTAAGCTCCCTGCGCTCCTCCTTCCCCTCTTCTCTCCCTCCCACTGGTCGATGGAGCTCCCAGGTCTCTCCTTCGCGGTTGGGCTCAGGTTTCAGGATGAACTTAGGGCCACCCTGGGGCTTCCCGTGTCCTTCTCCTTTGCTGACTCTTTCCACCTTGTAGTCGCCTTTGGTCGTTGTAAGTTCAAGCTCTCTCCGCAATCGGCTGGCTTGATCCTTCAAGCAACCATTGGGGGTTTTG